GTTGAGATTTCTTTGCTATGTTGTTATGCAATCAAATATTAGTGATGTAAGTTTCATCCCAATTTCAGTATTTGATTCCCCCCACACTTTTATTTTAGATTTTCTCTTGTTCTGCTGACTTTTCTCCAGCAGGTGGCAGCACCACATTAGATAAGCTGTCTTAAAAAAAGGAGGGAAGCTAAAAGCTTTGGAGGAAAAAAAAACCAAACCTTTTCAAAACACAAAAGCTTTTCATTTAGTAACCGGACGAGTTTTGAAAAATACGCGTTTGTCCTTTGTTGCCATTTAACTTAATACTTTTCACTGTTCCGCTGCTAAGCTCGGCTGTCAGCGCCTGTGATTCACGTGTTTGAAGAGTGCAGACTGTTTGTACTACTTCACACAAGTACAGAGGATTTCCCAACAATACAACGGCAAACAAAGGTGACCTCAATCTGTCTTTGACTGCTGATATATGACAAGTGCGGACTTAAATCTTCATGTCATTGTATGGCAAGGAAATCTACACATTCTGCCGTTTAAGTAAAAAAAAAAACCAAGGCATGCGAGGAGATAAGCTGTAAGATAGGAAACCATGTGTTATAGGTCAGAGCTGTCTGTTCTTCTGCTTTATGTTTCTTCCATGTCCTTTTCCACTGGGTCTATTAAGGCGTATTTCGTTCTGTATTTTCTGCTCTGTAACACGTGACTGGACTTGTTTTCACACAGTCTGAAGTGGGTTTGGAAAAAGTCATAATGGAAAGACTACTGGTCTTCAACGGACAAATATTGTTAATAAAACCCACAGTTGTTGTCATCCACTCATGTAAGTTCCCCTGGTGTCTGTGGGTGCCTGTGTCTGCGTACTCTCTCCGAAGTAAACGTGCCCTGTGACATTTACCATCAAATCAAAAATAGTGCTGCTTGCACTTAAAAGGGTCTACAACCACAATGTTGTTGCAGTTTTTTGTTTTTTTTTTTTTTCCCTTCGTGTCGCAGATGAAAGTGCGGGTGATGACGGTGTCACCGCTGCAGGTGAGCAAAGAAAAGCAAGATTTGGGTCGTACTGTACGTCAACCACTCGCAGTTTCAAAAGACGGCCTGAAAGATGAGCTGTTGTTCAGCTACACCTGGAATTCAGTCGCTTCCATCGCGGGGCAAACAATACTTTTTTCTTTTTTCTTTTTTTATGTTGAATCTAGTTCCGCTTCTGAAGCGCAGTGTCAACTCAGATAGGGGAAATGAGAAGGACACTAAAAAGGAAGTGAGGGCCCCCGAGTACAGTGTAGAGGAAGGTTCCATTAAGGTGGGTGGATGCTATCGACAAACGTATTGGTACAAGATGAGCTGTGCTGAATCACAGACCATAAGAGTCACGTGTCTTTTGGGTACTTCATTTCAAAGAGCTCATGAATGTGAGTTCATTTGAACCCTTTTTTTTTTTTTTTGACAGCCATAACAGCAATGTTCATCAATTGAGGTCAAGAATTTCTGATGAATTTTAGGCGAAGTTAGAACTTAAATTGAAATATGTGGCGTACGACGTCTGACAGGAATTGACCAGAGACAGTATTTCTACAGTCTACACAAGTATTATGTACCACATGGTGTTTTGATGATGGCATCTGTGACTCAGTGGCTCTCAGGTCTTGACACTTCTATTGACCAGAATCACATTGGTATATCAAACCACATGGTTTGTCTGTAGGTGGAATGTCATTTCAATGTTAAAATGATAAATACAGAGAATGTCTCAAAGGTTGGAACTGGCTAAATGAGGCCAACCCACGAAAGAAATAAACCTCTGAAACTGTCTGTGTGTGGTCTGGTTTAGCTATGCTTGTGTGGACATTAATTGTCAACACAATCTCTTCAAGAGGACATGTGGTTTTGTGAGGACGTTTTGGAGGTCCTCTAAAGGTGGAAGGTATTTTGGCATTCAGTACTTAGTTTGAACTTAGAAATAAAATTATAGTTAGAGTTTTATCAATTAATATCACAGATGGGAATCAATGACTATAATAAAAACAAGTCCCCCACACTGGTTTAGCTATGCTTGTGTGGACATTGATTGTCAACACAGTGTGAAGAACCAGTATGTAAACGTCCTTACACACGTGTAAATGTCACGACCCACATAACACGTGTTGGCTAATGTGCCAATAAAATGATAAATAGAAAAACAACTCTTCAACTTTATCTTCTGTTGCCGTCCGGTCTGTCCTTATAAGACTCTACTGATGATATCATAACAATGTTAGTAATTCAACACATTTGAGGTTTAGCAGCACAAAGAACACAACCTCACCATGTTGTCACAATTGAGCGTAAATATCGGTTCGAACCGAGGTGAAGATAAAAATCTTTGAATGTGTCCCAATTTGTGTCATTTGCAAAGTGCAGCGGCGAGCGTGCAGCTGCTCCTCTGAAGCTACGTCAAACCAGTGAAATGTGTACTCAACACATGCAGGCGAATATGAGGACGATTACTCAGAATGAAACAGAAGGGTCACACTAACCTTTTGCTGTACCAATTTTTGGCACACTCCCAAGTGGTAACATTGGGCTAAGAATTTCGATTGTATCTTTTACTTAAATTACCATTCAAAAAAATGTATAATTTTAACAACTATCAATATTTGTTGTTTCTTTTGGACAGTGTTATGTTTTTAAATGAGGGCTGTCGAAAGATTGAAATATTTAATGTGAAAAACCACAGGGTAGCTCCGATTATGATTTTACGATTAATTGCGATTATTTGACAAAGTAATTATTGTGTTTTTCAATCCAAACCCAGACACAATGCCTTAGTCTACTGGTCAATCTGATTCATTTTCACACAATATTTAACATTAGTAATATGTTATTTTTGACATAATCTAATTTTTTTTATTTAATAATTTTTTATATTTTTTTTCTAATTTCTAATTTAAATGTTTAAATGTAAAAATGGCCTCTAAATTCAACTTTTTTTTTTTACTATCAACACCACATTGCATCAAACTACTAGTTGGATATCAGTAGAACTGGATTCTGTTGTTCTTTAAAATACACATATGCAGCCGAGCAATAAACTTTGTCAGCGTCGGTAATTACCCCTGCCCCAGAAAGATAATTAACCTAAAATGCATCAACTACCACTCCTTCACCCGTTTAATGATGTGGTGAAGGAGTTTATCAGGGGCGTTACATACGGAACAATATATAGTGTGACGGCTTGCTGGCGTGGCCATCAAAGAGCATGATTTATTTATCAGCAGTTAGGGGACTTCTGCAGTGACTACAAAGGCAGAATAAACCATATTTAACTCGGTAGTCAACATCTTGATAATAAGTCCAAGATCCGATCTCCGAGGATCACATTTTTAATATCACATATATTCAGTCTATTCAGTCTTGTAACAGATTGTAGCAAAGGCAGGAAAGGGAAATGAACAACAGAGAGATACCACATCAGAGGAAACTGTAATTGATATTAATCACTGAAAACCGGTTTCCGGGTCGTGTGTTGCTTTAAGTTCAAAACAACTCACATGTTTCTGATAAAGTTTCATGCCCAGAAGTTCAGTGACACTAGGTAGTCCTACAAAAGGCCTCGTGGGTTTTGGTAAATTATTTTGTTTTTCAAAATCACTAAACGAATATTCAACACCAATGCTATATCCCAAAGTAATTTCTAAAACATACTGGGACGTTGAAAGTCACCTGATATCCTTTGAGTCAGAATGAATGAAAATACGGCCCGAGGGCCGGATGCGGCCCATTTGGCTTGTCCGGCCCGCCAAACTTGTCTAAAGTATGTTATTGATTTTTATCATTATACTTCTTCTTTGGTGGTGCTTTTGGCCCAGGGGCAATGTCTCTGTCATTGGTGTGGAACCCCGGGGTTCACCTCCTGGGCAGGTTTGAATCCTGGTTAGGGCAGTTGGAACCTTCCAGTGGACTCACCACCCACAGGAAGATTCAGGGGGGTTGATACGGAGCATTGTGAGTTGGGTGGCGACTGCTGCCCCCGCGACCAAAAATGGATGGACGGACTTCCTCTTTTCAATTGATGACGTAGAAAAGACTAAAAGCATTGTAGCATTTTAGCCCTTATGTAGACTTTTACACGTCATTTGTCTTAGGTCACACGAACCCTCCATCTATCTGCTCCTGACCTCGCCCCCCTGTCAAATTCTAGAACCCATTGTGGCCCGCGGGTCAAAAAGTTTTGCCCACGCCTGCTTTAAGTCATAGGAACAAACAAAAAAAACAAAAACAGGATTTAACAACAAGTGTTGTTTCTCAGTTTACGAAGTCCAGACAGGAACATGAACACATGGTTTGTTTATACTCCAGACTGGGTTTTATTAAGTCTGAGGTGATTCAGACAGTTTTGTCTGACTTTTGTCCCCATAAAACAACACGCTTGGAATAAAACAATAAAGCGCTAAACCTCACCCACTGCTGCGCTTTGACATACTGTACGCAAACACGCATTGTGACCACAGCCAGAATGGACCGCAGCTCTTTGGGACATACTGTATATTATTTAAAAAAAACACACAATTATACTCTTTCTGTCTCTTTAGATTTCCGGCATATTACCTGGAAGTGTGACCAGAGTGGAGTCTGACGGTCAGTAGGGTTTGAAGTGGCAAGTGGCAAGTAGTAGTACTAGTCTCCAAAATGCTAACATTATATGTATATATGTATTTACAAATATATAAATGTATGTGTGTGTATGTATATATATGCCTTTGCCTAGAGGTTTTCAAAACAAAACGGTTTTTGTTCTGCTGACTCCAGTTTTCAACTTTTCACGTGATTACCGTTTTTATTGCTACTTAATGTTCCTTTTTTTTTTTTTCGACACCAGCGCATTCCTTCCACAGGCAGTGGTTACTGGCCAAAATTAAGATCCTGTTTCCAAGATGAGTGTGAGCACGTTAGACGCACGCCCTCTTTTATGGCTGTTAAATCAACACAGCATGAACAAAGGAAAAAGACAACAACACCAAAAAGAAAAAAAGCTTAAAACAACAAATTCAAATGCACACTCTGGAGTCTAATTGGTGTTCTCACCATTACCCAGTCCCACCAGTTTAAGGAGAGTCTGTATATATAGTCACGTCTGTGTTTTCCCCCCCTGAACACAGAACAAACGCGCACAATGTGATCCTGTCCCACAGCTAAAAATGAACACATTAATGAGGAAGTTGACCTTTAACAAATTCTCAGTACAAATGCTTCTGTACTTTGTTTAAAATGCCTTGAGGCACATAAACATGCATTTGCATATTTTCTTTTTTCATAGCATGGAACCAGTGACATCAGGAGGCTAGTTATCAAATATTCTATCTGCTGGTGTTGTTTCCACAACACAGGTCCAACAGTTCAGTGTCTGAGGGCTGGGGGCTGGACTTCTGCGGCACTGAAGGAAATTAAAAACACAGAACTCTTGTTTTGATCACAGATTCACTGTATGTCTGACTGTGCTATTATGACTGCGCGGACATTTATACACCGTGTTTCACACGGACTGAAATCAACAGGTACAACAACGTCATATCTCAGTAATAAAGACACCCTAAATTATTGTTATTTATATGAGAGGATTAAAAGAGTTTAATTGTACGTGTTCAAAAATTATTTTATATTACAATAATAATTTGAGAACACAAACCATAGCGACATAGCATAGCGATCAAAAAATGATTATGTCTTTAATATAATGTCTATAGACTGATACCCCAATCCAGTGATTCTCAAACTAGGCTATGTGTACCTTAATGAGATACTAGGGCTCTCTCTAGTGGTACGCCGGGGAATCTGATTCCTTTAAGTGTGTTTGGTCAGTTGTTCAATGCAGCTGATTTATATTCTCTCTTGATCTATGTGTTGTTTACCAGGACCATCTGCTCAACACGGAGAAAGTTCTGGGTTTGGTTCCTGGAGGAAGCACATACTCAGTGGCGCCCCCCCATGTGACATCCTAACAATTGCAACTATATAGAGCCTGTGTGGGTTGCCACACTGTGAATTCCCCCATTGCGGTACAAATAATGGACTTCAGTGTGTTGTTTTTAAAGTTTCAGAAGTGAATCGAAGTGCCTGTTGTAGTATTACTTCATCGTTCAACGTGTCTTTAAGTTGATAATCTTAACTTTCCTTCTTGAGTAACTGGTCTCAGTTGAACAGGCCAGGGCGGCGCTGCTGCATTTGAATGTCGATAAATACCGTCAGAGTTGGCATACGGTCGAAAAAAGGTTCAAAACAACTGCACGACTCGAACATTTGTATATTTAACTCTTTGATGGACACGTAACGGAAACGAGTACATACACGTAGGTGGCTGACGGTCTCTAACTATGAGAAATGATTTGTATCCGATACAAATATACAGGGAGTGGCATACAAATCATGGCCGTGGGAGTGAGAATGTATGAGAGTAAGTGTAAGTGTCTCACATGGCTGAAAAAAAAAAAATACAGAAAAACGTAGAATTGAAAAATAATTTCACACTGTTGCTGTTGTCAAGAGGAACAGTTGTTTTTTTTTCGCACTTTCCAAAATATGTGGGGAAAAAAATGTTATGTGTCAATTGTTATTGTATATCAACATCCTCTGTGACACTGGCTGATAACTGGTTGCATCTGATTTCGTGGTCAACTTGTTTCCACCGTGGAAAAAAAAAGTCACTCATTTACAGTTGATTTATATTGTGCTCTGGTGTAATCAGGAGTATTCTGTGAGGATTGGACCAGAGGCGTCTGCTCAGCTTTTCCATCTCCATCTGTTCAAGTCAGGTGATGTCATTTGTACCTATAAAAAATGATGAGCAGTGATTCATGATGTGAGCATGTGCACAAACAAAAAGGTGGATACCTTGCTTTTTTTTTTTTATCGCAGCCAATCCAGGTAACTTGGTGTTCAGGCTACACTACAGAGAGAATTAAATACAGGTTCATAACCTTATTATTAAAATAATTTTAACACACAATTAGGAGAGATTAAGGCCTCCACCTTTAATACTGCTGCTGGGAGCCACACACTGTACAGGGCTGAGTAGCTGTATAAAGTATAAAATTCTTCTCAGAGGAAGCCGAGGTTGTTTACAAAAACATGACTGAGGTTGTTTTTTTTCACTCCACGGAGGCAGGTTGAAGGGTAAACACGCACAAGAGGTGATGTGTTTTCCTGCCGAGATGTTTGGATTCGAAATGTTTCGCCTCAGACCTGTATGTTTTCTATGTTGGGCGTTACACTGAAATATATTTTTGATGCACGCTTGGCCAAGCGTTACACTGAAATATATTTTTGATGCATGCTTGGCCAAGAAGAAGACGCTAACTGTATATTCTTTATTAAAGAACGGGATCTTTCTCCCACTTTTATATCAATAACATGTTAGCTCAATGTTAGCAGCTGTAGCTCCTTCTCTCAATATAACTTTTTTTTTTTAACTTCGCCTCACACATCGACAGGTTACAGACAAGGTTCTCTCTCTGATAGTACGTGTAAAAGAAATAGTTTTTACTTGTATAAAGTACTACGGAGAGCCCCTGTATTCACTACAGTGTGTCTTGTACTACTGCCTGTACAGTTGGTGAGAAACTTCACAGTTCAAATGAATGAAACTCAAATCAAGAGAGTGTGGTCAGTGAGTCACCGTGTTTAGTTCTTTTGAGGTCTTCACCGTCATGTGAGCCGTATGACAATGGAGAAAATGAACACTCTCTGGGGCAGTACAATAAAGAAGGTGTTGTTGTGCATATACTATATGAGTGTACAGTATATGTGTGTGGCCGATGTGGGGTCGGGGCATCACTCGAGTGGTAGGAGCCTGGTCATGTGTTCAAAGCTGGAAACTTGTTGGTAAGTTTGTTTCTCCTTCCGTTTGTTTTGTTTTTCAAATTGCAGTCACTGGATGATCTGCAGATTTCATTTTTGAAAAAGAGAGGGATGAGAGAGAAATTCAATGAGTCCATCTAACCATGTGGCAATAACGCAGAAGTGTTTACCGGATTGGTCTACTTTCACAATAACTGTTGTCAAACCAATAAAAAAAAGCGACGGTGTCCGACCTTAAGTTGGTGAGGTTCAACACGCTAACCAGTAATGGTACCATGGAATCGATATATATACCAATACGAGAATTTATTGAGTATCAATTACACTTACAAAGAAATGATACTAATTTATACATGAAACAAAGGCATGTGTCACTTCCACATCCTTGAGGGTAAATTACTACATACAGACTTTTGGACTGCATCACACTCCTCACCACTGCCGTGACCCTGGTTATGAACTGAAAATTTGAAACTGATCCATCAGCGTCACACGACCACTGACCAAAAAAGAGCAGTGACTTCACGTGATCGAGGCAACTAGTCATTACTGTCCCTCTGCGATTGTGCAATTGAACAATGAAGTCTTTTCAGTTGTTGTGACTAATGTGACACATTGGTGACATGAATACACATTTGTTAAGTTGTTAAACGGCCAGTGTTTGTCATGGTTTTAATGGGTTAATTGATATCGGCACCTAAAACAGTTGGACTTTTTGAATGTTAACGGTACGTTTTCTGTTCTTCGTTGCTCGGCCCAGTTTGAGTCCTCGGTTCTGTTCCCGTTTCTCTTCTTTTGCTTGGACTGATATCTGTGCCCTGGAGTGCTGCGGCTGGGTCCTGCATTCATTTTGTGACACCGTCGCCTCCATGCTGATGATGGACTGATAAGTCGTTAGTGGAAAACGGCGCCCTTTCGATTTCAAAACTTTGTCAGCAGGAGGCGACCATTTCATTAAATCCACGTTAAAAATTTTAAATATATGCAGTATATATATATATATATATATATATATATCTGGGGTGTCAAACTCAATTTCACAGTGGGCCACAATTGAAAACTGGGACGAAGTTGTGGGCCAAATGCAGTATTTATTGAAAAATTGACTGTAATTGTTCATGTTTTCCCTTCTCATTTGTTAGGATCTCGCCGGCCAAATATAATTACACTGCGGACCAGATTTGGCCCCCGGGCCTGAGTTTGACACACGTGCTCTATATTGTTATAGATATGACAGTGTCATGGCTTGTGGCTTGAACAGCTATAAAGAATGGACCTTTGACTATTTAAAAAACATTGCAGCAGTCCCCTTTAAGGACCGTTTCAGTAATGGCAACCAATTCCTGGTTATGAAGTCCCTAAAGCACACAGGAATCTCCTCATCTCCGCAAAAGTCCACAACAAATATTCCCATGTTTTCCAAAACCAAACTTCCTCCTCCCGCAGCAGATTTAGCCTGGACTAAATCACTCGTGAACCCGTCACTATTGGTGCTGTGCCCAAAACAGATGTAATCCGGGACAGATGCGTTCCCTTTCACAGAGGCGGTCGAGTTGAGCAACAGAACTTTCCGGAAACAGTCCGTTCTGTCCCCTGCTATTATTTCAAAACACTCGTTTTGTTGTTGTCAACAAACTATTTATTTGATTTCGCCGAGCTCCATCTGCTGCTGTTGTTCGAAATCGGTTTGAGACTGGACTGTCTAAAGCGACTGCGCGGGGGAAGATTTGTATTTATATCAGGAAAAGTACGTATACGATACGTTTTTGTTTCTGTTCTCGTATTGTTCTAACAAGAACAGACGGATTTGTTGCCGGGAGAGCGCAGCTCTAAACGTGAATGTGACTGAAAAAAACGTTTCTCTGAGAGAGGCCTTTCATTACGTTCTGGAAGCATGTGGAGCAGCAGCAGGAAAGATCCCAGCTGCTGTCCTCATGCCGTCCACTTGGCTCTGCTTTAACCCACAGCACACATTCCTCACTGACTCACCAACCCCTGTGTGTGTGTGTGTGTGTGTGTGTGTGCCGTAAAAACAAGGCCATGACTCAGTCCGTTATATAATAAGACCTGACCAACGACTACTATAACTACCAGGCACAACACTGTGCCCGTGTCATCATCACAGGAAACGGTCTCCGTGGACCAGTGCTCATCAATTCTTTTTCTTTATTCTCTTCAGGCTCGAGATCAAAACCAAGTGCCACACAAACAGGCACACACTTGTGCCTGCATCATTTCCTCCCACAGACAGAAACAGGTTCCACTTGCTGATGTCATCAGACCTCACCTTCTGGGCCACACCTTAGAACGCGTCTCTTGGCCTCACAGATTTGTGGCACTGATGCAACGCCGACATCTCGGTTTTTTGTTGTCTCCATATCTGGCGTGATCGTGAGCTCCGCCGCCTTTGTTATTACTTTTGTACACAGCTACAATGGCTTTAGTGTGGGCGTGTGTAGGAGGGGTGCAGATGCTGGGGGGGGGGGGTAATTTAGTGCCAGAATTAATAAATATTAATTATATGTTTTCCCAACACCGGTATCGCAGGAAACTGTAATTATGTAAATGCTGAAAGAAAAAAAAAAAAAAACGCTATAAGGCTAATTACAGACTGGAGCACTTTGTTTTATTAGAAACAAACACTTCCCTCAGCACCTATGGAGTGTACATGTGGTGCTCCGCACAGACCTGAAACTGTTTTATTTATGGGGACTTTCCACGCAGTCAGCCAGCAGCTGAGATAACCGCCTATAAGGTACGGTACACGGAGTGGAAGTAAAGCTTCACGCCACTGATACTGACTCACGACAGGTACGACTTGACAAACCTGATCGACATTCTTCTCTAGGCCTCGTGCAAGCTTTGAGTTTGGTGGAAAACAATCTGCGGATGGATGTGAGAGAGCGCCTTAAAAAAAAACTTTAAGCGTCCCTGGTTCCATTTGTGCCTCAAGAACGTGCTGTACATCGAGTAAAGTGATCTAAAATGTCTGAAAAACCTCGGACTGTTTATTGTAGTCCAAATATCTACAAGGACGGTGAACGCATTGATTCAAAAAACAAGACTCTTTCTATTAATGTGTCATCCGGGAGGTAGTTTAAGATAAAATTTAAAAAAAAAAGTGGTTCAACATGAAGAAATCCTGTAGATTCTGATTAGATAATATGTCAGAAAATACAAGATAAGTCAGGACATTCAGACGGGAAGGGGGATCTCATCAATGTCTGACAATATGATTCTACTTTGATCATTTTCAAGAACAGGGAAACGACAGAGTGTGGAAACTACAGGGGGCTTCTCACTCTCTTCAACATCTGTCAAACCTGACACCCGTCCATGTGATACCTGCCGCCAGTGCCCAAGAAGACACTTCCTAATTCACAGCGTGCCCTCCGACATATGAAAATAAAATCACCGGACTTTATTTGTACATGATACTGAACAAAAACAGCGGAGGTTCTGTGTGTCTGTTTTCTCTCGTCGTAATCTACTTTTTCCACTTTGTAGCTTCAGTTATTTCTAATGGCTCTGTGGCTCCGGGATCAGTTGAAAATAAAATACTCGGTCGTTCCAAAAATAATAGTAAACCATAAAGTAGTGTCTGCTACAAAATTAAAAAAAACTAAAAAACTAAATGTGTACTATATTGATCCCATATTTGGGAAACTGTTGTGTTAGCAGTAGATACGCTGTTAACAGGCTGCCCCTAGCGAGCGCCTAGCATGCGGTTCCTTGGTGTTCCAGGTGTGCTAACCGCTACGCTACGGAACCGACTACAAGTGAGTATTTGTCCATAATGGGGTCCCTCGCACCGTCGCTTTTTGGTTTCACACTGTTTAAACACAAACATCAATCTAATTTAATTAACTGTTATAAAAAATATATACATACAGTATATATATTTGTTTGTATATATTTTAATGCCATTGTATCCTTACATGTACATGACGTATGTTTCTTGTTTTAACCTACTGTGATGTGTGTATTTTCATGTTATGATTTATATAACCCTCACGGTAAAACTGTTGCTGTATCGATTTATATCGATTTGAGAATAAAAAATAATAAAAAAAAATTAGCAAAAGCTGCAAAGTCTATCAGCTGCGTTCTTTCTGCTGCAAATGTGTTCACTGTGTTGTCCACAGAAATCTTGAATGAATATTCTCTTCTATTCTGTGAACTCCCATCATGTTTTTCTCCATATCCTGCGAGCTGCGGTGTTTGTTCCTAACAATGAGTGAAACTGAACCAAACCTTTAGGACTGAACTGTAACATCACAGATGAGGCCAACACAACACCTTGCAGTGTGTGTCTGTGTGTCAGTAGTGCCGTAGTGGGAAATACAAGGTGTATGTGAGAGGAGGAGGAGGAGGAGGAGGAGTAGGAGTAGGAGGAGGAAAGTTAAGGAAGTGGACAAAGCACAGAGGGCTTCTGTGTCCGTGGCTCTTTTTCTCACTGACTCACTCATTAAACTGCTGTGTGAACTGCTGTGTGGGACAAGCTGAAACGTCAACGTATGAGTACATATAAATAAGTTATCTATTTATAATACACAATTGCACTCTTTTAAAAAAAAAAAAAATGAGTACATATAAATAAGTTATCTATTTTTAATACACAATTGCACTCTTTTTTTTTAAAAAAAAATCTATTTTGAGAAAGAAAAAGAGTTACAGATAAATGATCTCTCCGTCTTACCATGCAGCGCCACGCCTGATGTCAAATTATGTTAAAACTCGGCGAGTCAATAACTCATGTGGCGATTGTATGGAAGGACATTTAAGGTTTTAGAATTGGTTTGGGTGTGTGAGAGAGAGAGAGAGAGAGAGCGATAGAGAGAGAGAGAATATAAAAACCAATTATCCTGGATTATGAATGTTGTTGAAGAACCTTGAGTGTGACTAGTCATTAAGTGTCATTATCTAATAAGTGGTTACGCCGTCATACGACACAGTTCACCTGTCACTGTCACGCTGTGCAGCTGAAAGCCGCCGGTGTGCTGCATGATCAAATCTAGATGTGGTTTAACAAAATAAGTCACTTGAGACGCTTAATGGAGGATAATTGAATTTAATTACTGCGGAGTTTGCATCGATGTAAATACTCATACAAAATGTAAAGAATCTGAGTAAAAACGCACGACTGCTGGCCGAGCCCTACATTCTTGCACACTTGTTGCTGTGCAGGAATATACTATGGAGCAATACACATCTGTGGAAATCCCTCCGTCCTTCAATCTCCCTCTCTCTCCCTCCTTCCCTCCTTCCCTCCCTCCATCCATCCACTTCCTCCCCCATCTCTGTCAGTGTGTGTATCTGTGCGTGTTCCAACAGAGCGGCCCAGAACATACTTTTCCTTTTAAAGAGAAAAAGCCAAGAAAGAAATGTGAAGGTGTTGTTTGCGAAGCTGAACACCTTCACGTTAAGGGTAAGAACTTAAGATCCAGAGGCGTTAACAGCTCAGTCATCCCGCAAGACTGATGACAAGGAGAGGGGCACAAGTGTCAAAAGGACGGAAAGTTCAGTCACACTCAAGATGATGTATTACCGCTCCGAAATATTGGGGTGGGAGTTTTGGCGTATTGGATTTATGTCAAAGAGAGAGAGAAAGAAAAAAAACAAAATACCAACAAAAAATTTGATTTTTTTTTTCATGTGGTTGTATACTGTTGATGCAACTGTGATTCAATGCTGTTTCCTGTACTGTTAGAGTACATTGCGTACTAATAATGATGGGTTAAAGCCTTATTTAGTCTGATTCAGTGTCCAAACATTCGTCGACTTTTTTCACAAAAGACAGTCCAGAAAAAAAGGTGGAATTAAACTTTATGGGCTCTGTATTGTAACATTTATGACTCTACAAAATCAGTTTACTGTTGTTTCTGGGGCTTATTTTCCACTTGTCACATATTTAAGGAGGGTTTTCAAACTTTACCACATATACTCCCCAGGCCTGAGCTCATTTCCTGGCAGAAGTGCAACCAGGCGTCCAGAACATTTTGTTTCTTTCTCTCTGTTTCTTTTTCCAACTGTGGCTTCCCATCTATTCCCTCCCCGCTCATTCTTCTGCTCTCTCTCTCTCTCTCTCTCTCCTAACTGGCCCCGTTTCCATGTGAGACGAAAGAATGCTGGACTTTTGAAGAAATGCAGCAGAGGAAACAGAAGTGGAGAAGCCACATGTGTGTGTGTGCTCGATCATTTTTGTTCTAATCTTTAACTTTACTGAAGTATTGCTCAATGCCGCAGCCTGTGAGAAGGAAAAGTCTAAAGGTTGAGCTCTAAAACTCTCGATAAATGGGTTACATGTTAATGATTTCCTGTAAAGACGGTCTAAAGTCTTTCCTGGCAGGGCGACGGTGCACAATTACTATCTCTGATGAACTCCAAACATTACCCTTCGGTCACACACCTCTCGTGGTTTTAAGAGCGCAGCCACAGTGTCGCAGATTTTCTTCATTCTTTAAGTGTAAACATTCCGATAATATAGCACGTGTTTTCTTTCCAGGTCCTAGCATAGAAGAGGTTTTCTTTTTTTTTTTTTCTCGGGGAATTTTCAACAGTGCTGAGATCTGGTGATGCTCCCCCAGCTTTGGCAAGAAAACATCATGATTACACTCCCTAAAATAAAGCCTCCCTGCTACCCAATGTGGTGCTTCACTGACACAGACTGAAACCTGGACAGCAGCCACAGACGCAGCCCGCTATTTCTTTCAGCCTGCTATTTTTTTTCCTCGTAGCAGATCAGACACGGGACCAGAGCTGAGTGACTCACACACAGTAATGATCTCGTATGACTCCTCACAACAAGCTGTGCTGACCTTGAACTCTGAAAGAACCTGCAGGACAATCGCACACGCCGGAGCAGATCACATGTTAAAAAACTAACATTTGCTCTATGCCAATGTCAAAATGTGTAAAAGGTCGGTTTAAAATTTTATATCCAGAGGGAGCTCGGCCGTATGCGGTGCTTTAAACCAGGGTTGCCCATTAAGTAGATCGCGATCTACTGGTCACCAAGGGAGCGCTGGTAGATCAGGAGTAACTAAAAATTCAATTAAAAATAAAGATTTATTTTGAAATTAATAATAATACAGGTATTTAATCATATTGTGGCATAGAGCTACATGTATTTAATCAAAGGGACTCAATAATTAATGAATATATAAAGTACAGTACATTCACATTATATCAGTAAATATATATTTAATATTAACAACCTAAGTAGATCACTTTAACTTGGCTGTTTAAAAACTAGCTCCCAAGACAAAGAAAAAGTGTGGCATAATTCGTATATATTGAGTCACAGATAGTAAAAATATTCATATTAAAATCCACCTGTTGCATCTTTAACTCTTCTTTCTGTGTTTATATTACTGCTGATAGAACTCTAAATCCTACTCGGTCAGCAGCTTGTAGATGTGTCATAGCGGCATTAATTGCCTCCACTGTATATATATGAATTACCCCAGCGGTGTTCCTTGGTGAATGGAAATGCCAAGTAATTAATTAAGACAGACCCGCCCTGTGTATGTTGGCTGATGTGTAAACAGTGCAACAGGAACCTGTGAATATAGTTATTGTTGTGATACAACAGACCAGTGATCCTCAATCTGGAGGGCAAAACCGTCCAATCCAGCCTGCGACCGGATTCCAAAATACACATCAAATAATAATTTACATTTACGCATTTAGCAGACGCTTTTATCCAAAGCGACTTACAAGAGGAGGATTAACATTATCATCATGTGGTTCCTTTTGGAATCGAACCCGCTCTCTGCTTCCGAGCAGTTAGCACATGTAGCGGTTAGCACGTGTTAGCTACAACCGCTACACTATGGAACCAAACAAACCGAACGATTGAAATGTGAACATGACGAAATAATAATGTAAGACAAAATGTGATTTTTAATTAATTTTTGCCTCTCCAGAAAAAAAAATCCTAGCCCTCCGACAAATATAGTTGTCGACACGACCTTTCATAGACACAATCCCATCTGAGAACATAGAGCTGTACATGGTAGAATAATGATTGACAAGCTAGCAAAAATATGAAAAACATAAAACATACTACTACTTGTATAAATTACAAAGTGAAATTACAACTTTCAAATAAAACTTTTTAGTTAATGAGCTGCCATAAAATCTCAGTTTGAGTTGACAAAATATATAGTTCCGCC